AATTTTAAAGACAGTTAAAAATAATTCTAATAGCCTTTTTGTAATGAGTAAACACACAAGTACCAAATTCTTTCTCTATCGGCTAGGTTGATGGGCTCATTTTTTTTCCCAGCAAGGCCAATTTCCACATCAAGTTCCATCACCTGCTGATGAGCTTGATGGGACCACAAACTATAGTTGGCATCTCATCAGCCCCCAGCATCACACTGTGATGAGGTTTAAAGGGGCTGTCACAAGGGCCAAGGAGATTCCGTCGTACGGTGGAGATGCACTCAGCTGCTGAGTAAAACATTGGCGGTTCGATCCCACTATCCACTCTTCTGGAAAATGTTGTAGTAGTCTGCTTCTGTAAAGTTCATCACCTTGGAAACTTGAAGGGGGCAGTTTGACGCTGCCCCATAGAGTGACTGTGAGTTGGAATTAACAGCTGCAGTGCATTATGGGAAGGGCTACCTTCCAAGAATTTTCAGAAAGAACAGTTCTCTGGGGGGGGGGGGTGCGGCAACGGGGTTTTCCTCCAGTGGCCCCTGATTGCTGTTGTTCGTGTCCTCTGTGTAATTCCTCCACCCCTGCCACCCCACCCCCGCCCCCCAGATTATGGACTGGACCTAGTGACCCCCCTCTTAACGGGACGTGATACCTTATCACTGTTGAGATCCAGTTCTAATCCATTTTGCTTGCTCTTCTTGCTAACTCGATCTGAAAACCACCTTCCCACGTTGGCTGCCCCCTCTAGGTGCCCTTCCACCAGGATTCAGTGAGCAACCAGAAACTCAGTCCAGCAACAACTGGGAACCTGACTCCTGCCAATAGCCAGTGAGTGACTGGCAGGTCCTCCCCTCATTGAGCCATGAGATGAGGGCACCTCAACCGACACCTTGGTCACAGGCTGTAAGGAATTCTGAGGCAGAGGCACCCAACCAAGTCACACGTGGATTCCCAACCCACGGAAACTAAGACATGCTGCCGGCTCCCTGCAGGTGACTCACGCACAATGGGTCAAATTGTGGTCATTCACAAGGTAGGTTTTCACTGGCGAATTCTTCAAACGTAAGCCACCAGGGCTTTCTGTCCCATTCACCTGGGTCTGGATTGGAAGCTCTACTGAAATCTGTTCAGTATCCCAGCAGCCCCAAACCCTCCACGGGGAGACGGATGGGGGCTGTGTTTGAGATGCACTGGCCAGGAACCTAACCAGGTCTCCCCCCGTGAAAAGTGAGCTTTCTACGCCTGCTCTCTGACTCTGCCTCAGCAAATGTTTTATTCTTATTTTATAATAAATCGCTAAGTTTTGCAGGTAATTGGTTACCTAGCAATTGATTGCTAAGGCACTGGGGAAAAGGAGAAACGCTGCCGAATCCATCAATTTACCGGGCTTAGTGCCTGGAGAGCTACAACCCAGAGACAGTCAGTGGGGAAATCTCTGAAGAAACCAGAGGGGAAATCTTTTTGCAAACCTGGGCTCCCTGTGACAAGACCCAGGCTTGGCACCATGAAGGTGGAGGAGCCTGGCCTGAAACCGCTGTCCCCCAGAAAGCTGGGCACCACAGTGTCTTCTAGTAATGGTGTGGGAGCCTTACATCTCAATTTCCTGCTCCTCCCAATGTGGGTGGAACCTATTACTCCCTGAAAAATATGTGCCAGGGCCAGTTTCTTGAACGTCCTGCATGCAAGTCTTACTCGTGGACCAGTTGTCAGCACCTGTGACGTTGTCCCTGGTGCCCTCCAACAGCCACTTCTCCTGTCTGGGCTCTCAAAGGACTCTACAACTTTGTCAA